TCAGAACCTTCAGACGGGTCAGAACCTTCAGACGGGTCAGAACCTTCAGACGGGTCAGAACCAGCGGACGGGTCAGAACCAGCAGACGGGTCAGAACCAGCCAGGTTTAACAGAACCAGCAGATAAAGTTTTCAGAACGGTTCCAGAGAACAGATCAGGTTTCTGGTTTTGGACCGGGCCTCTCTGTGTGGTTCTGTTGGGTTTAACTCTGTTTGGAGTTCTTTGGTTCTGAGTTTGATCAGAACCAGGTGTCTCCAGCAGAACCACAGAACTCGACCCGTCAAGCTGCTGAGCTCAGAGAACCAGACTCTGTAGTTCTGCTGGTTCTGAGTCGTGGTTCTGCTGGTTCTGAGTCGTGGTTCTGTTGGTTCTGAGTCGTGGTTCTGTTGGTTCTGAGTCGTGGTTCTGCTGGGACTGGTCCCAGAACTCACAGGTGTTCGGCTTCAGGTTTGGTTTTTATGGTTTCATTAAAAAGAACCGGGTCGCAGGTTCTGGAGGCTCCTCTCAGGACTCTGGACCCAGAGGTCTGGTTCTGGTTCTGGAGGCTCCTCTCAGGACTCTGGACCCAGAGGTCTGGTTCTGGTTCTGGTTCTGGAGGCTCCTCTCAGGACAGGAAGAGTCCACCAGAGACCCAGAACCCTGACCGAACCTGCAGCCTGGACCAGAACTGGGTCTGATCAGTAAAGGTTCTGGATGTGTCCAGGTGTGGACCGGACCTTCTGTAGGTGATGGTGAACAGCAGGGCGGAGCCTCCAGTGATGGGCGGGGCCAGAGATGGAGGGGGGCCGGCGGGGGGCAGGTCCTGCGCCGGGTGTGGGGTCCGGATCCTGGACCGGTTCCTGCTGTTCTCCATGGAGCGGTTCTGGCACACCCACTGCCTGAGGTGCTCCTGCTGCCACGCCCCCCTGGGACAGGACGGTAGCAGCTGCTACAGCAAGGCCGGCATGATCCTCTGCAGGGACGACTACCTCAGGTGAGACCCCCAGAGACCTGAGACCAGATCCTCCTGTAGACCAGACTGGTTTGTGTCTCAAATCTTCAGACCTGGGACATCTTCAACTGAACCGTGTTTTTGATTGTTAGACTCACCTGTCCCTCTGACCACCTGTCCCTCTGACCACCTGTCCCTGACCACCTGTCCCTCTGACCACCTGTCCCTGACCACCTGTCCCTCTGACCACCTGTCCCTGACCACCTGTCCCTGACCACCTGTCCCTCTGACCACCTGTCCCTGACCACCTGTCCCTGACCACCTGTCCCTCTGACCACCTGTCCCTGACCACCTGTCCCTGACCACCTGTCCCTCTGACCACCTGTCCCTGACCACCTGTCCCTCTGTCCACCTGTCCCTCTGACCACCTGTCCCTCTGACCACCTGTCCCTGACCACCTGTCCCTCTGTCCACCTGTCCCTGACCACCTGTCCCTCTGTCCACCTGTCCCTCTGACCACCTGTCCCTCTGACCACCTGTCCCTCTGACCACCTGTCCTTCTGTCCCTCAGACTGTTTGGACACAGCGGGTCCTGCTCGGCCTGTGGACAGTCCATCCCTGCCAGTGAGCTGGTGATGAGAGCTCAGAGCAGCGTGTATCACCTGAAGGTAGGCGGGGCTAAAGTCTGTGATGCTGAGACTCACCTGGAGATAACTCCTCCCCCTCCCCCCCCACAGTGCTTCACCTGCTCCACCTGCAGGACCCGTCTGGTCCCTGGAGACCGCTTCCATTACATCAACGGGACCATTTTCTGTGAACTGGACCGTCCTGCAGGAGTCCTGCTTGGACCCCCGACAGTCCTGCAGCCCACCGGTCTCATGACGGACCAGAAGGTAGGAGTCAGCCAGGTCCAGGTCCAGGTTCTGGGTCTGTCCATTATAATCTGCAGATGTTCTCTGTGTCCAGGTCTGCTGAGGAAGAGGACAGACCAGACGTGTCCTCGTCCTCAGTCTCTGATCTGGATCCTCTCAGTCCTGTTCTCGGGTCTCGTCTTTTCGTTTGGACCAGACCGAGTCTCCAACCTGGACCAGCTGAGACACCTGGAGGATTGTCCCTGAGGACGATCTTCAGCTTGCTGGATTCTGGTGAACCCGTTCAGTTCTTCGGTCCAACTGTCAGATCAGATCTGTGTTTGTCCTGCTGAGTGGTCCAGGACAGTCCAGCCTGTGGAGCCAGGACCAGGACAAACACATGACCCCCCACAGAGACAGGATTTGAAAGACCTGAGCTGGGACCATTACAGAACKAATTAAAGTGGTCCACATGGAGGCCTTGGTGGTCTTCAGATCCTTCTCAGACTAACGAGGTCTACCTGAAGGAGGGACGTTTTCGGAGGAACTGATCCTGGAGGACCTGATCCTGATGGAGGACCTGATCCTGGAGGACCTGATCCTGATGGAGGACCTGATCCTGGAGGACCTGATCCTTAAAACCTCTGATCATCATTTTACATTTAGTTTCACAGGACTAATAAAGTCTGAGATCCTGGTCCAGCAGGTCCAACTAGCTTCATGTTAGCAGCTGAAATGAAATTAAAGCTTCAGACTAACTGAGGTCCAATAGGTTCCGCCTGATGTCCTTCCTCTAAACCTGTCCCTCCTCTGGATCTGTCCCTCCTCTAAACCTGTCCTTCCTCTGGACATGTCCCTCCTCTAAACCTGTCCTTCTTCTGGACCTGTCCCTCCTCTGGACATGTCCAACCAGTAATTGTAAAGAACAGTAAAGTGTTTGGACATGTCTCCAGCTGATGTCTCAAAGGTTATTTAATAAAAACTTGTTCTCAGCTGAATTTGTCTGTTTCTGTCTTCATGTTGATAAAAAGATGAAGTTTGAGTCTCACCAACCTGAGGACATGAGGACAGTTATTGGACATTATGACATGAGGACAATTATTGGACATTGTGACATGAGGACAATTATTGGACATTGTGACATGAGGACAGTTATTGGACATTGTGACATGAGGACAGTTATTGGACATTGTGACATGAGGACAGTTATTGGACATTGTGACATGAGGACAGTTATTGGACATTATGACATGAGGACAGTTATTGGACATTATGACAGGACTGTTGTTCCACATTATGACATGAGGACAGTTGGACATTATGACATGAGGACAGTTATTCTGCATTGTGACATGAGGACAGTTATTGGACATTATGACATGAGGACAGTTATTGGACATAAAGACATGAGGACTGTTGTTCGACATTATGACATGAGGACAGTTATTCGACATTATGACATGGAGACAGTTATTGGACTTTATGACATGAGGACAATTAGACATTGACATGAGGACAGATATCTGACATTATGACATGAGGACAGTTGGACATTATGACATGAGGACAGTTATTTGACATTATGACATGAGGACAGTTAGACAGTATGACATGAGGACAGTTATTGGACTTTATGACATGGAGACAGTTATTGGACTTTATGACATGAGGACAGTTAGACATTGACATGAGGATAGTTGGACATTATGACATGAGGATAGTTGGACATTATGACATGAGGACAGTTGGACATTATGACATGAGGACAGTTGGATATTACGACATGAGGACAGTTGGACATTATGACATGAGGACAGTTGGACATTATGACATGAGGACAGTTGGATATTACGACATGAGGACAGTTGGAC